CCTGCCTTTTCCACCTCTCACCCAGGGGGCAAGCACTATGGGCAGTCTATCTGAAGTGTACCTGGCGTATAAGACGACCCCCCAGTTGGAGGCATATTTTTCAGGGCCAAAAAATCGTCTTATACGCCGGCAAATACGGTAAGATAACATGGCTGAAGAGCCCTATGTGTCAACCTCTTTGGATCAGACACCCTTAGAAAATCTGATGAAAGCTGTGGTCTATCATCCTATACACATTTGGGGTTCATACTTCCCCTCCACCAAGGGCTATTTGGACCATAAGCTAAGAATAAGCTACACAGAATAACAACACATACACAAATCTTTTAAATGGCCAATTTAATAAAAAATTATTTATTTCTTCTAAGTCACAGTTACACGTCCTTCCTGTCTGCAATTGATTTTTTCCTTAGTTTTTTGTCTAGGTTGAGTTATGCAATAAAAACCTTCCACTGTGGTAACAGTGGGCCAGAACTGGACAGAACAAGCTTTCATTACCTTTTCTAAATGAACATTATAGAGATGTGACATGGTTAAGAACTCTGGATTTAGAGTAGGATACAGCTAGGTTCCAATCCAGCTGGATCGCCTACTACAAACTATCATCTCCAGCAACTTAACTGCTTAAGCCTCAGTTTCCTCATTTGTAAAACCTGGGGACAATATATATCTCCGAGAATAGTTGCAGTGAGTAAATAATGCTTATAAGGCTAATAATAAAGTGCCTATTATACAGTCAACATTTAATGATAGCTCTTCTGAGGAACTTGAAGTTCAGAGATCACAAAGTTTCAAAGTGTCAGGCTTGGACTTGAACTCAGGTCCCTTACCCTTTAGTCTATGTCTCATTCATAATCTCTCAAGGAATCTTCTTTAGTCTTATTCAGAGTTAAAACTGAATATTAAGAATTTTTATCTTCTCCCGAGGCCTACGACTGTAAACCCCATTCTACTTTGATGATAAACCTGGAATTAATGATTCGAAGGTGAAACTGCCTCCCACTACCAAGAAAAGAGATGCTTCTGGCAATAGTTAGAGCTTCCTAAGGATTTTCTCAGAATAGAATCTGTTACAAAGCGGTCAGGTGAATCAGTAACTTTCTCACTAGAAACAAAGACACTGAAAGGCCTAACACAACACTTCTTCTTCTAAAAAGGGAGTAGAATGGTATGAGGACACAGAGGAATTTATTTTATTTATTTTTATCTGCATCCAAGGATATTTTCTCCATTAATCTTTAGAGAGAGTGGAAAAGAGGGAGGGGGAAAGTGGGAGAGAGAGAGAGAGAGGTAGAAAAAAACAAAACAAAACGTGTGTGTGTGTGTGTCAGGGATCAAGCCTGCACCCTGACCAGGAATGAAACCAGAGACCCTTTGGTGCATGTGCCGACATTCCAACCACTGAACACTACCAGCCAGGGCCAGAGGAATTAATTTTTAAGATATAAATGCATTTAGGTTAAACATAACTTTTCACTTTTCTCCCACATCTTCCTCCCATCCTTAATCAACTACTGCCATTACCACATGAGACATCAATTCCTACCTACTTAAGTTATAGGCATACTACATTATTTTTTCAAAGTTCAGGTTAACTCTGGAGCAGTCAGATGACTGACTCACTCCAGCAATTCCTGTATTCACTGTTAATCTCATGGGAAATAATAGGGAGAAAGATATGGTATTGTAGGTTAGTTCAGTTGGTTAGACTGTGGTCCTAATGTGCCAAGGTTGCGGGTTCAATCCCGGTTAGGGCACACACAGGAGGCAACCAATGAATGAATGGGTGGAACAACAAATCAATGTTTCTCTCTCTCTTTCTCCCTTCCTGTCTCTCTGAAATAAAAAATAAAAACAAAACAAAACATTATATTGTAAAACAACTGACCAGAATCAAGAAAATAAAAACAGCCATTGCAGAATATTACTGTATAGAACCATTGATTTTGAGGACCATAATACACAGTAAAGTGATAAAGATTATGGCTGGGGGAGAGGGGTCTACGGGAGGAGCTAAAGCTTATGAGAGGAGTTCTCGCACTCCATGCCATAGCAAGAACCCTACAGGAAGAACTTCATGCTTACAATAAAGCTCGATGGTGGTAACTACCCCTCTCTTAACTTCCTTTTTCCCTTCTATAAATACCTCTCTATCTTGCACCCTGTGCAGGGTGTACAAGTGGTTTGTCATGTCTGCATGCACTGAGTTGCAACCCTTCAACCTTACATTTTTACAAAATAAATCCTTTTTTTGTGACAAAACACCTAGTAGATACTGTTTTTCCATGGACAAAAAAAACATAAAGGAACATAAAGGAGACTTTGACATAACTCTAGTTACTTTTATAAGTTATAAAAAAGAAAAGTAAAAAGTTAAAAGTAATGCAACCCAAAGTAACCTGGAAAATAATTTACTCCTTCCCCATCACTTTATAGATGAAATAAACTGAAGCCTCAAAAGGGTGCATGATTTAGCAAAGATAACACTGTCACTGACAGTTAGGACTAGAATTCAGAGTTCCTGACACTGATTTACTAGTAACCAAAGTACTACCCTAAACAGGAATTATTACAACAGATATAAGCATAACACAAATTAAATACAGCTCCTTGCAACCACATCACTTCAAATAATCATGTTAAAATGCAGCCAACAGTAGCAAGTTACACTTCCAAATCCCCAAACTCAAGGAGCAATATTCATTACTTACCTCTTTTGTCTCCTCAGGTAGTCCACAACAGCAAGCATTGTTCTTTGTGATCTTTTATCCAAGCAACATCGGGAAAAGTGCTCTGGCTCTGGCAAACAAAAATATCCCCTCTCAGTCCTAGGCGGACTGCTTAAGCACATTCTTGTTTTGGTTGGTGTATCTGTCTCCCTCAACACCAGTGGTTCCCACTCTGTTTTTGGCCATGACCCCCCACCTAAGCATCTCTAAAATCCTATGCCCCCCCTCACGTGACATATTAATTCTTATTATTCAAAAAGTGAACTCCTATTCATGTGGAGGAAGCCTAAAAGGCCATTAACTTGGTCTAAACAAGCTTCCAAAGAACATGGCATCCACGAAAGAGAAAAGTAAAAGAATGAAAGGACAGTTGAAGTACTGAGGAAGAAATCACTAAGAAATTGTTTAAAAAAAAAGAAGTGATATGAAAAAATAGCAAGTAAAGTTTCAAAATGTTTAATAGAGAACTAAAATGCATAAATATGTCACATTATATTTATATACTGTATATGAAGCCCCTAGAATCATAAGAAAGCAAAAAATTCACTATTAATAACTCATTCTCGAATTGCCCCCTTAAAAATCAAATTGCCCCCCTCTGAGGCTTGTGCCCCATGTTGGGAACCACTGCTCTACACTATTAAAGGTTCTGTGGGCAGAACCTAGCACAAAATTGTTTCTTAATAAATATGAATTAACAAATGGAATTTAATGGCTTTCTTTTTCTTTTAAAAGAAACTATTGTGCTTAATATAACTGAGAAATTAATTGTAATTTTATTTCTGAAGGGGACTAATTCATTGATTCAACAAATATTTATCTAGGATCTTTTATGTACTAGGTACAGTATATAACTATGAATAAGACAAATTCTGACCACCTAGAACCCACTAATTGGCCTGAGAGATTCTTTTTGTTGTTGTCATTAATCCTCACATGAGGATATTTTTCTTTTCTTAAAAAAAATTATATACACACACACACATATTATTTCAGAGAGGAAGGGAGAGGGAGAGAGAGAGAAATATCAATGATGAGAATCATCAATTGGCTGCCTCCTGCACACCCCTTACTAGGGATTGAGCCCACAACCTGGGCTTGTGCCCTCATCAGGAATCAAACCATGAGTTCCTGGTTCATAGGTCGACACTCAACCACTGAGCACACCAGCAGGACTAAGGATATTTTTTCCACAGCCTTTCGGAGAGTGGAAGGGAAGGAGGCAGGAGAAGAGAGAGAGGGAGAGCGGGAGAGAGAAAGAGAAACACTGATGTGAGAGACATCAATTGGCTGCCTCCTGCACGTGCCTGGACTGAGCCAGATTAAACCTGCAACTGAGGTATGTGCCTTGACCGACAATCGAACCACAGATCCTTTGGTGCACAAGCCAATGCTCTGAGAAACAGGGGCCAGAGCAGAGATTCTTAATTCAATAAATAGTACATATGACAGGAAAAGTTTAGAATACTGTAGAGGAATATAGAAAGGAAGGCAATCTCAATGAGAAAAGTTTCACAGCAAAAGTGAGATCTGGGCCCTAGCCGGTTTGACTCAGTGGATAGAGCGTAAGCCTGGGGACTAAAGGGTCCTGGGTTTGATTCCGGTCAAGGGCACATGCCTGGGTTGTGGGCTCGATCCCCAGTAGGGGGCATGCAGGAGGCAGCCGATCAATGATTCTCTCTCATCATTGATCTTTCTCTCTCTCTCCCTCTCCCTTCCTCTCTGAAATCAATAAAAAGAAAATATTTTTAAAAGTGAGATCTGAAAGAAGGGTAAGGGTCTAGCAGAAGAGGAAAGGGATAGTGTTCCAGGCAGTAGTGATACTACCTGAAATGGCTGGAACAAGAAAGAACTTAGAGAATTCAGGAAAATATTTTCAATATGGCTAAACCACAGAGAGGTAAAGCAGTAAGGACATTGGGACAGAGAAACAGATAGACTAAAGTTATTTATAACATAATTGGCAGGATTTCATAGTCAAATGAGACATGTGAGAAAGATTTCTGGCTTGGGCAAGTGCATGCCTGCCCCACTGAAGAGATACGCCGTAAAAGACATAGGCTGGGAAGAGAATGAAGGCAAGTTTATTTTCAGACAGTTATGTATGAGATGCATATGGGACATTCAAGTGAAGGCAGTGATATCAGAAAAAAACCATTTAATTGGACAGAAATCCATATTTACTTTCCTTTTCAGTAATAAAATTTTATGTGTCAAGTTTAAATGTTCAGTTAAGGCAATGAAAATATTGGCACTGTACAAAGACATAAAACTGGCTGATTTTGCCTTTGAATGCTTGTAGCATAAATATGTATGCACAAATGATAAACATGAAAAAAAAAGGCTTGGCCATATTCATGATAATAAATTGTCAGGTTATCAAAGGCAGTGGTTATATTAAATTTGGTAGAAAATAAAATTGTTTTTAATACTGCTTTAAATTAAATAATGTTTAAAGTTTAAATGCTTACTGGTAACTGTGAGTTACTTATACCTATATTTCTCAAATTAAGAAAAGGAGACATAGTCTAAACAGTGTGTGAAATGTCCATGAGAATTTTAAGACTTTCATTACAACGACCTAAAAAAATATAAGCATATTCTGGATCATTTACATGACCAACTTATAATCCAGTATGACCACAGAATGGGCATCCATACTTATGTTTATAATGATATTGTTTCAAATAGATATGTAATTGCTGTTAGCGAAAAGAAAAGCATACACATAAAACGTAAGCAGAGCAAAGCGAAGTCTACATGACATCACGGTCATGTCAAATTCAAGTTGTGGTAGTAAAAGTTAAAGAAACAGCTGAGAGAACTGAGTAATCATGACCATGCCAAAGTCACTAGTCAAGGTGGGGAAGAGCAATTTAGTTGGAGCAAATATCACATATTAATACTTTTCTTATAATTGTATTGGTCTTAAAGTACAATAAGTGACTTTGTACCTAGTTTTATGTTGCATATACCATACATTAATACAATATATTAAAGATAATAAGTTAACATTATAGATCTATGCAATTCTTTTTCTTTTTTTTTAATTTAAGTTTGAAAAACTGACTGATAATGAGCCCTCAACTTGCATGCATCTCCCCCCCACACACACACATATGTTCTTTTTCTGTACTTTCCACAATAAAGATGATTTTGTAATAAAAAAGGCTGCTTTTAAAAAAATGCTTCAATTAGAGCAGTGGTTCTCCACCTTGGCTGCACAATAGAATCACCTGGGAATCTTTTTAAAATCCTGATTTCTGGGCCTCATCCTCTGGAAATTCTGTTTCTTTGTTACTAATGTTGTGGTCCCACCCAATAACAAAGAAACAGAATTTCCGGAGGATGAGGCCCAGAAATCAGGATTTTAAAAACATTCCCAGGTGATTCTAATGTGCAGTCAAGGTTGAGAACCACTGAATTAGAGCTTTAATATGAAAATTCCATCACATGTCCAACACAGTCCCTATAATATCTGGCTGCACATCTGTCTGCTCTATCCAATGCTGGAATATAGGGTGTGTCTTGTTCACATCTATACTTCCAGTGCCAACCACATTGCTTGACACATACTGAATTCTCTGTAATTAATTAATAGCCAAAATTTAATGAGGGAATACTATCCATCAAGTGTTATCATAGGTGCTTGACATACATTATCTCATTGAAAACTTGTTACAATTGTTACCTCTATTCTATAGATGAAGAAATAGATGTTTAGAGGTTATGGAATTACACCTACAAAGCGTCTTGATGAGATTCAAACCCATCTGTCTTTCTCTAGAACCAAGACCTTAACAGTGTAAATGTGAGAGTTTTAACAGAATACCTGAATCCAAACTTGCAGGGGTCATGGATCGGTTCGTTTGTGAGGAGTATCTGAAACAGTTAGTGAAAAATCCCTGAATGTGCATAGAAAGCAGATTTCTCCATGATTCATTTGCATCTTGAAGTAAAACATCATGAATCAGGTATGGAAGCACGGTCTGACAAAAGTCAGCTTTCACCTAGAATACCCAAACACATCCAGTCAATAGGTTAAGTAAAAATAATATATTACAGTATCTTACCAAGTTACTGGCATGTAAACTTTAAACGATAGATGAATATGCCATAACCTCAATGTACTGCTAGAAAGCATGTGTACCAGATAGTGTTTTTTAAGAAAAAAATTCAAACTAACATAGAATATCTATATAAAACATATATGGTGAGTTACAATGTTAATTATTCATTTCCAGCCTAGACCATCCTATATAATGAAAGCCTAGGTGGCATCATGCCCTTGCATGATGTCGCCACAAGATGGCCGTGTGCACAGCAGAGGTGGGGCCCAGTGGCTGCTCTGCATGGTGAGGCCTGGGGAGTCCCATGGCTCTGCACAGTGTGGAAGAGGCTGGTCCCAGTGTCTCCACCGCCTCACTCGGAGGATTGTGGCAGGGGAGGGCAGTTGGGGGTGATCAGGCTGGCAGGGGAGGACAGTTGGGGGCCATCAGGCCAGCAGGGGAGGGCAGTTGTGGGCGATTAGGCCAGCAGGGGAGCAGTAAGGCATCAATCAGGCCGGCAGCGGAGTGGTTAGGCATCAGTCAGGCCAGCAGGGGAGTGGTTAGGGGGCAATCACGCAGGCAGGCAGGCAGGCAGGCGAGTGGTTAGGAGCCAGCAGTCCTGGATTGTGAGAGGAATGCCCCAGATTGGAGAGGGTGCAGGCTGGGTTGAGGGACAACCCCCACCGTGCATGAATTTTGTGCACCAGGCCTCTAGTTTGCATATAATGAAACAGAATATTGCTTACAAATGAAATTATGTCACTACTATAAGTAAAATTTCATAGTTGAAAAGTGTTACTAATAATAGCAAGTTCTCTAATTTGATGTAAGGAAAAATGGAGATCAATGTTTATGAGAAAAGTTGAAAATCTGATTTTTGCACATTTTCTATACTTAGTGAAGAGCTACAACAGCGATGTTAAAATGTTTATTTTTTTTTAATAAATCCCAATTTCTGGGTATAAAATTTGGGTACTTATTTTTGGTATACTCCAGAGTGTAGAAAAGTGCTTTAATATGTCATCCAGAACGTATATCTCACGGCTGAAACCTACTGCATAAAGTTGTGGCTAAATAAAGACAATCCTGTTTGACGGCTCGCAGCAGCTGAGGGTGGGTGATGTTGCCTGAGGAGGATGTGCTGTTCCACAGGCCTCTTTTTTGAGATATTTATTATAGGCAACAAGCATGTACACACAAGCCAAGTGGAACGAGACAAGCAAAGAAAGCTATTAAGAGAAAAAAGGAAATGAAACAAAGCAAAGTTAGAAAGGAATGAAGTCAGACCAAGTAATCTTTTTACCTCACACAGTGGCTTTAATAACTGAAGAATTTCACTTTTTATGCTTCCACTATCCAAAAACGCACAAGTCAGTGACTTTATCCAAACATCATGACTTTCATTTTGAGGAATCCACAGGCTTGTATCATCCAAACCCTCTAAAGGGTTGTCTCTGTCAAGTCTGGGTACCTCTAAAAACTAGAAAGAAAATGATCAGAAAATAAAAATAAGGTAATCAGAAATACATTGGAAAACAAATACCTAAATATACACAAACCTGTTTCCAAGTAAAACTAAATATAGTTAAAACTAAATCTGGAGGCCAGGGTTACCTTTTAAATTTAAAATACATTTATGTTGCTGAAACCGGTTTGGCTCAGTGGATAGAGCGTTGGCCTGCGGACTGAAGGGTCCTGGGTTCGATTCCGGTCGAGGGCATGTACCTGGGTTGTGGGCACATCCCCAATGGGAGGTGTGCAGGAGGCAGCTGATCGATGTATCTCTCTCATCGATGTTTCTAACTCTCTATCTCTCTCCCTTCCTCTCTGTGAAAAATCAATAAAATATATTAAAAAAAATACATTTATGTTTATGTGAGAGTCAGACTGGTATGGTAAAGAATTACTGGCCTAGCCCTTGCTGGGTTGGCCCAGTGGATAGAGCATTGCCCTGCGGACTGAAGGGTATTGGATTGAATTCCACTCAAGGGCATATCCTGGGTTGCAGGGTCGATCCCCAGCAGGGGGCGTGCAGGAGGCAGCCAATCAATGATTCTCTCCCATCGTTGATGTTTCTATCTCTCTCTCTCCCTGTCTCTTCTCTGAAATCAATACAAAAACATATATTTTTTAAAGAATTACTGGTCTAGACAGTAGTAAGTTCATAGTAGTATATTATATGAATCACAAACTCTGCCTCATCTGCCTTACATACAAAACCAGTCCAAATCTACCACACAGAATTGACTTCAAAATGAATATTATAAAATGTTCTAACTATAGTGTTTTACAGGTTACATTGCTAATTTTATTAATAGTTTATATTACCATTAATTTCACTAATACCGAAATTATATTTATGATACATTTAAAAGCAGTATTTCAGCCCTGGTTGGGTGGCTCTGTTGATTGGAGCACCATCCCTTATACCAAAAGGTTGTGGATTCGATTCTAGGTCAGGGCACATACTTAGATCTGGGTGCATACAGGAGACAACTGATCGATGTTTCTCTCACATCAATGTTTCTCTCTTTAAAAATCAGTGAAAACATATCCTCAGGTGAGGACTAAAAAACAAAACAAAAACAACAACAACAAACAGGCACTACTTCAAATATTAAACGGGAATGTTCAAACTAAAGGAGAGCAAAAGTTCTTAAATATACTTCACAGAGTACTCCTGGTGGAATCTTATGATATCAACATGGAAAAAGGGAGACATTTATAGGTCATCTTACATTTCACTAGGGAACTGTATTACTTAAAACTTGCTATAGAAATAAATACTTAGTTGTTGATTTCAACACCTAATAACAACACCCAGGATCAATGGCTGTTATGAAATCTAAGTTAGGGGTTTTTTGTTGTTGTTTTTTAAATATATTTTATTGAATTTTTACAGAGAGGAAGGGAGAGGGATAGAGAGTTAGAAACATCGATGAGAGAGAAACATCAATCAGCTGCCTCCTACACACCCCCTACTGGGATGTGCCCGCAACCAAGGTACATGCCCTTGACCAGAATCGAACCTGGGACCATTCAGTCCGCAGGCCGATGCTCTATCCACTGAGCCAAACCAGTTAGGGCTAAGTTAGGGTTTTTTACTCCTAAGAAAAAAGGCCTATCACTAAGAACTTCTCCTAATCCCCCCAAATCATCACCTCTCTAGGCTATCTATAGCTCAGCTGGAATTATTTCTAAAAGAGGTTACCGTATTTGCCGGCGTATAAGACGATTTTTTGGCCCTGAAAAATATGCCTCCAAGTGGGGGGTCGTCTTATACGCCAGGTACACTTCAGATAGACTGCCCATAGTGCTTGCCCCGTGCCATAGTGGCCTCCCGATGCCCGCCCACTTCATTCCACATACCGTTCAGGCATCAGCAGCGCTGCTGGGTGTATGCTCGGCTGTTATGCGATTTTGCTGTTATGCGATTTTACCACACTCGCAAAATCGCACACAGCCGACCATACACCCAGTATGATAGCGCAAAATCGCGAATCGCGATACCATACTGGGTGTATGGTTGGCTGTGTGCGATTTTGCGAGTGTGGTAAATTCGGGTTACCGTATATTTCTTTACATATGCATTGAAGATTCGCGATTTTGCGCTATCATGGTGCCTGTTAGAATGTTGAAGAGCTCGCACTTGCGCACTAGTGCTATTTGTTATCTTACTTCTATCATTGACAGTCCCTCTAGGTTGTGGGCTGCTTGCCTGTGTTCCTGAGAAGCATCTACGGTACCAGTCTATAGAGTGTGTTTTCTTTAGTGAATTACCGGTATGTTTACCGGTAATAAACTTGCACTGTTTTATGTATATGTTTGATTACATACAGCCTTGTGACAGTTTTCCTGCATGTCATAAGCATTTGAATATAGATTAAAATGTTAAAATCAAATCTGATATTATTTTACCTTTTATTTGGTGTGTGGAAGGTGTGCGGAAGAGGGGGTAGTCTTATACGGCGAGTATATAACAAACTCTGTATTTTGAGTGGAAATGTTAGGGGGTCGTCTTATACGCCCAGTCGTCTTATACGCCGGCAAATACGGTAAATGTTAGTATAGTACCATTTAAGCAATTTGATATTCCTATCCATAGCAAAAAAAACAAAAACATTCTAGAATAGTGGGTACACAGTAAACATTTATTATTTGAAAGACCTTTTTCCTCGATGTTCTAAAAGGGTGTAGATAGATCAGCATGGGATCAGTAGTCGTCTTGTAAATCTCCCAGAAACTATGGCCAGTCTTTGTGGCTAAAATATTTTTCAAGCAGGTAACAGTAGCTGATCGCACTTTGACACTGAAAAACAGATATAATTCAAAAGCCTAAAAACTATTTCAACTATTAAGCTTGATAAATGCTAAACAACCTCCAATTAAAAAAAAACACCTGAAATCTAAAATTTATATCATTAGGACAATTCTACACTTATTGGTAAAATTTTACATCTATAAAATTATATTACATCACAGCCAAAATTACCAAAGGATTCTTAATATTCTTTCAGTAAACTTGAGTTACTAATCACTGCAATAGCATTCTCTTTAATAAAATATGACTACTAAATATAAAAGGACTCATAAAAATAAGTAAAATAACACCAACTAATAAAAATGAGCAATAAGAATGACAATAGTAATTCACCTGAGAAAACAATATTTTGATATTTTCTCTAAGAAACACAAATAATTTGGGATAAGGCAGAATGCTATTTCCGTCCAAATGATAAAATTATTGTCTAGAACAATTTTGAAACAAACGGTAAATACACACTTATTCTGACCAGAAGCTAGCTGAGAATCATTAGGTAACACATCTAAAACCTCTAGTAACACAGTGAAGAGCCTTCTCTTTTGCAAAAAAAAAATAAAATAAAATAAAAAAAGGGAAAAGGAGGGCTGCAATACAAGAGCACTGAAAATAAAACAGCTGACAAAAAATCTCATAAAGTCCAATACTGTAAAGGCCTAATTCCTTTTAGGTTTCTCAATTTAAGACATAAAAGCATAAATCATAAACTAGGTAATCCTTC